GAATCAGAAAGGCGAAATGACACAGTGGACTGCTGAAAGCCTTTGGGAAGCCAGTCAGCCGATGCATCTTCTCTCAATGAAAGCAAGCAACAATAAGGATGGGAACGTGGAATGTACGCACAATGAATAAGGCTGGGAAGGCTGCTCAGGTAGCCAAAGAAATGAGAAAAAGAGGACAGCACCAAATAGGAAAAAGTGGAGATGTGTTGTTAAAGCCCTATGTTCCACTCGGAACCCGACGGAATAATAATAATAATAATGACATTTTACATTGTTCAATTAGACCTCGATGAAAACCATGTAATTTCGAACCAGTGAAGTATATACACTGCTTACACTACAAGGAACATGAATTAATTTTAATTTTATTCCTTTACGTTCCCAGTGGAACATTGGGCTTCAAGCCTCTAGCCTGAAGTTTCGGTAGCAGTGGTGTTTATTTTTATAGGATGGGTTTGCTAGCCTCATGCCCAACCTTCCCTCTTTAGCAGTCTTATTACCGGGCTTAGCGAGATTTAGGAATGCGTCGGCCGGGGATCGAACCCTGGACTACATGCGTGGTCGGCGAGCATTCTATCGCTGTACCAGCGACGCACACGGGGTACATACTTGTACGTAACTTCCGAAAATATATTCCTAAGATATAATGCATTATTGAATTGATGTACTAACGGACAGGATACTAAAAGTCATAATTAGCTTCAATCTTTGATTTGTTTTATTCACTAGCTCTCTTGTCAACCACATAGTACTATGTTGTCAAGATCATAAGCTCCACCTGTTTGTATATATATATATATATATATATATATATATATATATGCTCCCTTTGCATTTCGAGTGGAACATAAGAGCTCCAAACTTCTGAAATTTCAACGGCAGTGTTGTCTTTCACGAAATGTAGAAATGTTCAACCTCCCCCTCTTTACCGGACTTACTACAAACTGGTAAACTGGGCAGGCTTTAGGAGTAAGTCGGTGGGAAATCGAACCCTGACCATGTCGTGGCTGGTAAACAATCTACCACTGGGCCACCAAAATACATAAATATGCACACGCGAATTCTTTAGAGGCTGGAATTGAGTATCACTTTGACTAACTTCTAACCTTTTCTTCAAGTTAAATATGTTTATGAAACACTTTATAATGAGACAACAAGCAACAAAAATATAGCCAGAAAAAAAAGGGTTCCTCTTAAAACTGAGTCCAAAATAAACAAATCTCAAATAAAACTTTTGTTTACATTTTAGGTGTGTATGAAATTTCATTGCCTAGCCTCAAAAAACAACAACAACACAAATAAACAAACAGAATGTTTCATTTGTTCCGCTAATATGTGATGCACTAATACTTTCATTACATATGTTTTACATTTGTAATGACACTACTTATATTAAATACAAGTAGTACGCTTCTGTTAAACGTATTTCAGTTTTGCTTAAGGAGAAAAATAAAGTATTTTATTTGAAAGAAAAGTGATCTTAACGAAAATAATTATCAGCTCCGGTGTATGCTGCAGACAGCGAAAAAGTAGACTACCACACACTGACCTTATTCATCTTAAAATGCACTGGGTCATACATGAAATTATTGTTCGCTTAGCAATTGATACACCATTCTTGCCTATTGATTCACTTAAGTTAATTTTCAATTAGTTAGGGAGTATGGTAAATATATCTAATGAATGGAATTTAAGTTATGCGATAGACTGAAGTCTTAGAGTAAGTATGTGGATAAGACAAAAGGAGATAAGACAACATCAAAAAATTATCATGTAAACATTTGTCAAGTTAATCAAACACTGAGATGGATATGATTTGTACGACATTAACCTCCTTCCCCCTCCAGAAATATAAACATTAATTCAATTCAGTTTGAAGCATTTTTAACATTCGGAACCCCACCAATTACATTTTGCAGTTTTTATGCCTAAATAATACTGAAAAAATCTACAACAAAAAACTCAGAGAAGTGTTCAAAGTGAACATAGGAGTAAGATAAGACTGTCTACTATCGCTGATAATATTCCTAATTGTAGTGGACTGGATTATGCAGAACGTTATGAGTGCGAACCCAGAAGACAGGAATACCTTGGACCGCTAAGAAGAACCTAGAAGACCTGGAATTCGCTGATGATTAACATCTAGTTTCACACAGACGAAAACAAATAAAGTGGCCGGAGAAGTAGTAAAGACAGAACTTCAAGTGGACATTGAGCAGATGGAGGTGATACAAATAACTAACCAACAACAATAAGCACGAATCGCTACCAAACGGGAGAAATTCGAAAGAGGTTACTTCCTTCAATTATCTAGACAGCGTCGTTTTAAATACGGGCAGTCGGTACGGATGAGGATGTCAAAGCCAGAATCAGAAAGGCAAATCAGACTTTCATCACTCTAAAATCACTTAGGAAACCTTCTCCACTCCACAATATAAACAAAATATTATTATTTTCAAACACTAAAGTAGTCAGTCCTTCTAAACAGGTCTGAAACTTGAAACACACGTCATGAAAAGCATTTCTAACTGGCTACTGCAGACTCTTATCAACAGCTGCCTTAACTGACTCCATACTGCAGATCAAAAGGCAAGCCATAAAGAATTAGCAGCAAAAAACTCTGGAGACAAACCAACCAAGAACCTATTGCTTAGTAAATATCCCGAAGAAAATGGAGATGGATCGGACACAGGCTGTGAGGAGACCACGCTCGAGTGGAACCCGAGTGGGAAACGACAAGTGAAACATCTAAGGGTGACATTAGGTAAATCGTGCGAGGAGGAAATTAGATGAAATGGGCAATAGTTGGGCCAGCTAGAGAGGATCCCAGGGAACAGGACAAAGTGCAGTTGAACCGTTTAAGCCTTATGTTCCACTCGGCACCGAAAAGAACGATGATAATAATAATAATACTGGAAACTTATGACTGAGTTTTACAACAAATTGATTTTCATTTATACAGAAAAAACAACAATTCACTACCATGATTTTATGGCCATCTCTATTATACTTTCAAGAGAGTAGCAGAATCGAAACCCTTAAGAGGAGATTTGTAACAATCGTCTGAACCAATAAACCTGGTGTCTCTGAAGTGATATGAATTTCCAAAAGAAGATCATCGGCTTGTTGAAACAATTGATGCTGGGAAAAATAAGAATACTTCCCTCTTGATTTCATAAAGAATATTTGATTTTGCCTAGAGAATTGCATATGATTTTAACAGTTTTGCGTTTTCCTAACTATATGGTTTAAACTTGAAGCTATTATTAGTTTTATACACACAAATTTGTCAGTACAGATGTCGGAATAAGTGACATCAAAACAACTTCCCACGACGTTAACTAATTCTTGATTCAAAACAAGAATAATTAGAGTAAATGATTGTTTTCAATGAATTCTTCTTCAGGATCTACAATTCTACATCCATTAATTTTAGCATACAGTAGCCAGTAAAAGGCAAATTAGAATTATATCGGAAAGGGAATTGTACTGCAATTACAAAATGGACTAATAGTCAGTTAGTTTTGATTACCACTTAAAACATGTATGGTCAATAAGAATATTAGATAGAACAAAATGAAATAATTCAGTGGTGTGCGTTTGCATATATATATGTATAGTTGATGTATAGTCGAATCGCTTTTCGAGTTTTCAGGTTGAACACTATCAGTCACCGAAATTTGCAGATATTATTAAACTATTACTGACCAACCGACTGAGTTTCAACACAAAACCCTCCATAGAATTGCAGCACTTCGAGTTATCACACTCCACATCCCACACAAAGGGAGAGAAAAAAGAGGGGGAAAAAGATATTCAGAAGAACTACAAGAATAATAAATGTGAGGAAGAAAGAATAACGACAACGGAAAATGAGAATTTCATTTACAAAGAGTGAATGCATCTGGGTCACTGAGAACCGTTTTGAGCCATATCACCAAGAGCCTCTAGCCGCTGGTTATTAGAATCTCGAGAACTCCAGCCAAGCAGCCTACACCTTCGTATGTCTGGCTAAAACTAACAGTCAAAGATTTCATGGATTTATGTCAGACTTTGTTTGGACCAATTCTAACTCGTCTCCAGCCTAATCCTGTGTCACTTGGTGGCTCAGCATGTGCAACAGCTATTCTAGCCATGAAACTCTCATTATTGTATTTATTATTCCAAGTGCAACAGGCTCTGCAATGTAGTTCAAAGAAAAACATGAGAGGTAACCTGTGATAAATACAGTAGAGGGCATACAAATATTAGGTAATATAATGGAAAATCATCAAAACATTCATCAGAGTGTTTTAATTGCTTTGAGAACAAATGTATAAAGTGTAGGCGTATTTTTTTTCTTAGAAAGTTGTCATTATTACAACAAATCTCAAACAGTCGTAAGTCATAACATAGCTAGATTTATCTTAAGAAATTAATTTATATTAGGTAAGTTAGGTAAAGCACAATTAATACACAATTGTATGATATTGCAAGACTAAGTACAACCGACTGTATGTTGAAGGAAACAAACAAGACTTTCACTGAGCATTTCCACTGCTCATCGAAATACTTAACTAAAGTTATTTGGCAATTTACTGATCAGTAAAATTATGTCAATAATGAACCACACTACAATATCAAAAACTGGATATAATAAACGTAAATGTATGGAGGATTTCATCATGAGCTGACAGTACTCCCAGGTTTTCCAGTGGTTCTCTAACTGATGTCAGCTCATGATGAAATCCTCCGTGCAATTAAACAAAATCCCCACCAAACCAATACTTGAAACGTAAATGTGTTTACAGTATACTGAATTAAACAACATATACTAATACTTCACCTTTAGCTCTGTGAGAGATTTCTAGGAAAGAAATTCCTTATGATGCATGATTTAGAAACCAACTACTTATCATCAAATAATATCACTGTTCGTTATATTTTCAAATGTTTAAAAACATTAGCAAATGTAAGCCGAAATGCCAATATAATGACAATCAAATGAAACAAGTATTTACCTGTTGCAAGTGTATGTACAAATTCTTGAAGCTTCCATATTTAACAACATAATTCCTCACAGAGACGAGAATAATGCATCGGGAATCACCCTGTACATATTTTGGACTTGTTTTTATATTTGGGGAGTCAGAACTGTGAGCAAAGACTAAACGAAAGTAAAATTCAAGAAATTCGGGAAGAAGTTGGACAGTCAAGCACAGACTATGACCACAGCAACGAATCAGCTGAACTACTTCATTCCGAGCCATTGAATTCACAAGTTCATCGCCAACAGCAACAAGGTAATCACCCGGTAGGAAACAATTTGAAGAATTCTGCCTGTCACATTCTGTTAGAAGAACCTAAAGACAGATTGAAGACATGATTAAGAAATTTGTACGAACTACAAGCGAACACATACTTCATCTTCATCGGATAATCATCGTTGTTTTCTTCCAAAATAGGTGAACCAGATAAACCGATAGAGAATGAAATCATACATAATAATTTTAACATAAATGGCTTGCAGTGAAGGGGAACAACGGTTGTTTGCCTATCTAAAGTATTTGTCCGTCATTCTTACTATCTTTGGCTACAATCTCCCCCAAATCTTTCCCCTTATCATCATCAGTGGTGGGAAATTATTACAGTATTACTTTTAGGTGAACATTCAAAGCTAATGAGTCTGAATTATAAACACTGAAACACAAAAACTTTACCTAATGACTGCATAAACGATAGTAAGAAGGCAACCAGAGATACTCATTTTCAAGATCTACATAGGTGTGAAACAGCCAGGATATAAATTACACCTGTTCTAGTTGCCACTAGCAAAAGCAATCATGAGTAAACACCACAAAGTAGATCAACAGATTTAATCTGTTTCATAACACTTACTTCAGTACGATCTTCCAGAATTATTCCATTGCCAAAAATACACAAACGGTGGGTCAATAATCCACGACGAAGCAAAATCCCATAGCTAGATTGGCCATTCTTCTTCAAGCTTATGACGAAGTTTGGTGAATAAACAGAATTAAACTTGATTATATCATCATGTGAATTATCTATGTCCAAATGATTGGAGGGGTTGATGGAGATTTTTGGAGTGAGATGGAGCACTTCTCCAAGTTCAGACAAGTCATTGAAGGCCGTGGGTCTCTGAACTTCAAGCTTAGTTGGTCGTTTATCAGGCGTACTCGATGAAATGGAATGTTTACCTAAATTATGAAATTTACATTTTTTTCCATACCAAATATAGCTTGGTGAAGTCTGGCAACTTTCTCTGAAGAAATACTCTTAGAATGTGAATTATGAACCAGCTTATCCCCACCATGCATGCTAGACAAAATAGATCTCCAATATTACCAGTTCTCTACGGTTTTTACCAATTGCCGCAACAACCGCAAACAAAGATTCAAAGTATGCGCTTCTAAATAACCTAGCTATTGGCTTTAAAATGCTGTATACTAACGGACATGAATGCTTTGCAGCCCTTCCAATATCCAATATCGTTTTTACGAACTAGCATAAACTAATTTGATTTCTTTGTGCTCGTCTCTTGATTGTGAGGTTAGGGTCCCTGGTCTACAGACGGTGTCATAGCTACTTCTGCCAGTAAGGAGTTCCAGGAAAAAGAAGTGGGAGCTCACCCAGGTCCTTGCTTTTTGGTGGGTTATCCTTCTAGGATTTCCACAGGGAAGCCTATACCTACTGAATGGCAGAACACCTTTGTTTAGGTGATTCTGATCATTTGTTATTTTGTAGGCAGTAATTAAATGCCCCCTAAGACGACGGTAACTAAGTGTGAATAGGCCTAATTTCTTCAGCCTTTCATCATATGGTTTATTTCGGAGACTAACCACTCCTTTTGTTGCCCGTCGTTGGACTCTTTCCAAGAGGTTGGCGTCTCTTCTAAGCAGTAGAGATGCAATAATATTATGCACTTCAAGGTGTGGTCTGACGTATGTTTTATACAACCTTAGAAAGAGCTCAGGAGTGAGTGCACCTAACTGTCTATGTGTAAAGTGTATGACCGCATATGCCCTCACTACATCCCCCGGGTAATTTACGCTTGTGTCCATTTTCTCCGTTAGAACTAGACCTAAGTCGCTCTCCGACGTTGTGCAGGACAAGCTTTCATTGCACAGGGTGTAACTTGTATTCTGCAGTCTACAGGTGTGTAACTTCGCTACTTTGCACTTTTTCAGGTTGAAAGTCATGCCACTGGCCACCGCCCAGTCTTCCAGATCTTCCTGTAGCCTATCTGAGTCCTCCGGGCACTTCATCGCCCTCCATATCTTCACGTCGTCAGCGTATAGAAGGGTCGGGCAGCTTAGACGGCATAGTAGATCATTGATAGAAATCAAGAACATCAGTGGTCCTAGAATAGAACCCTGCGACACTCCTGATAACGAGTTGTGCCAAGACGATCGGATTCGGTGGACCTTAGTGCAAAATTTCCTTTCAGCTAGGTAGTCCTTTAACCATGACAGAAGTGGCTTACCTATACCTGCCTAACTTATTTTGTGTAGGAGGAGGTCATGGTGAACAGTGTTCAATGCCATCTCAACGTCTAGGAAGACCACATGGACCGTAACATTCACATCCCAGCACTATGTTCAGTCGTCTCAAGCTGATAGAAGGTTTGTTACACAGGATCCACCTTTCCCGAAACCGTTTTAGGCTTCATGGTGTATGTTAGACCTATCGAGGTGCTTCCTGATGTGGTCGTCAATGATACTTTCCAGTACTTTTGGTGCCACTGGCATTTAGCCTATTCCCACTCCTGAAGATCGCAGAAAATAAGTCTCTTTTACGCTCCCTTGGCAGTTTCCCGAATCCACTGAGTGTTGGAACAAGTCGCATAAGAGAGAGAGCTTCGGCGCACTGTTTCAGAACAGATGGCTTGATGTCATCACAACCTGAGGACTTTCCAAATGTGAGGCTCTGTAGCTTCCCTAGTACTATTACCGGGTTTATTCGGTCTTCCTCCTGTGAAATTGGTGCCATTTTTGCACGTGTTTGCTCTGATATTCATTTACTGCTTATAGTCATATAATCCTTGAAATAATGGTCCAAATTTCTAAAAAACGTGTTCGTAGAAACACAGTTGTTTTAGATAGTGCCTCAACCTCGGTTATAACTGCATTACCACCCTGTAATACAGCATTAACTACTAGCTCACAAAATGGCTTGAGTGCAATTCTCACTCCTGTGATACAGATGAAAGATGTTCTGTTAGAGAACTCTGAGATCTGTAAATTAGACCTCCTTGTGAAAGATATCCAGAGGCAAGTAAATGAACTTCAGGAAAAATTAGGTCAGTTTGATAGAATGTCACTGCCAATGTCAAATGTCACGGAAAGCAGTTCTGATATTGGCCAGGTTAAGTCTTTACTGGATGTAACTCAAAGCAAGCTTTCGGATTTAGACCCAATAGCCTGTATGTTAAGAAAGCATCCTAAAATGTCTCCAGACACCCTAAATAAGGCTGAAAATCTGAGTGACTGCTTGGCTGCAGAAGTGATGAAGCGTATAACCTCTTCTCACCAGGCTATAGTTTACAATATCCCAGATTCTCTTCCTCTGAAGACTGTAAAACACAAAATCCTGATTTGTTGCAGCATGGCTAGTGTTCCACGTGAATGCAAAAGACTTCGTAAGAAGTCTAACCAGGCTAACTGTCCCATTATTTTTAAGTTCAGTAATTCCCTTGATTCTAGTAAGTTGATCAAATGTCAGGATCACCTAAGACTGAACAGCAGTTATAAGTCTATAACCATAGCTCAGGATAAAACACCTTGTCAGCGTAGAATAATGCGTAGTAATAACCTGGCCACCTCCTCTAGCTTAGAATTACCCGAAAACGATCGTGCATAGCAACAGTCACCTAATGCTGACATTAGCATTCAGCAAACCACACAACAACCACGCATGGCAATGGAACTAGGAACTGATTTAGATACCAGTACCCCTGTAAATAACGTCTCACCGAAAGATGTTAAAATAGGTAGAACTGCTGCAAGCTGTTCTAAGAAATTCTTACCCAAACGTGGTGACCTCACCACAATGAACAAATTTCGCCGGGTTGAGACTAATGATGGGGAAGAATACTTTGTATTCAATAAGCTTGCTGAGAGTAAGACTGTCAAAAAACCCTCACCTCTTACGAAAAGTTCCTCTCGAAACACAAGTATATCTGGTGGTTTTCAGTATGCTCCACATTATAGAAAGTCAGGCCCCAAAATGCCCAAAGTCTTACAACCAAAGCACCTTCCCTCTCAATTTCCTTTAAGTTATAAAACCAACACGAAAGTGTGTGCCGGTATGACGGATAGCACGTGGATGGGTAGACCATTTGATGCTATGCCTATATATCCAGGAACACATGGTAAATTTTCCAAGTGTCCCGAATCACTGGTACGACCCATGGCACCTAGGACCACCTCACTGCACTCTAACCCCGATGTACAGACACCCAGTCCGACCCCCGTATCATTCATAAACTCTTGCGTTGTTGACGCACAAACAGAGTTAGGTTATGGTGATATCTTAAGCCAGTTTGTAGTATCCCGTGACTTATTCACGATATTGCTAATTAATGCACGTTCCTTAATCAATAAGATATCTAAACTAAGGGCATTATTATTTATCGCCAAGCCTACTGTAGCTCTGATTACTGAATCATGGTGCTCATACTCTGTACTTGATGTGCATATAGGCATAGATGATTACACTGTACACCGTGCAAATAGAGACTGCAAGCGTGGTGGAGGATGTCTCATATATTTACATAACTCATTCGTAGCCAGTAAGGTGGAAGATGAAATACTGAACGAGGTACCTGATTCACTCTGGGTCGTCTTACAAGGAGATAAGTACAAGCTTCTCATAGGCCGTGTTTATCGAGCACCAAGCTCAACCAAAGAAACTGATGCGTTATTAGCTAAATCATTCGCACACGCCTCATCGCTTAGTACTAATTACAAAATAATTGCAGGGGACTTCAATCTTCCAGAAGTCAATTGGTTAAGTAGTTCCGGCCCCCAACGCTTCGACGAATTACTTGCCACTATCGATTGTTATGGATGGCAGCAACACGTCCAGACACCTACTCGTGGTGACAACATGTTGGACCTTGTGTTTTGTCATGACACAATCCCAGTCTCCACCTATGTTGGTAACAGATTTTCCAGTAGTGACCATAGAATGGTACTCTGCTCTCTGCCTTTCTCACCACTAAATACAGGAAACAAACAGGATTCAGGGAGCTTGATTTGTCGTAGTTACAAACATACAGACTGGGGATTAGTCCAAGAACTCATTCGACTCTGTCACTGGGATGAATATTTTACCACTGACTCCCTGGAGGCTGTGGTGTCCCTATTTTACAGGAATGTTATCCTTTGTCTAGATACTGTTGCTCCTAGGAAGGTAGTGAAATTAAGTAGACACCAAGCTGAATACATTCCGAGGGCATGCCGCAATAAGTTAAGGAAGTTGAAGAAACAGTACTATTCCACTAAGGATATATCACTACTGCACTCAATCCATGAGTCTCATGAATCTATCAAGCGCCAACGCTCTCAAAAGGACCTCGACGAAGAATTAAGGGCACTTGAAAGCACCTCCAAAGTTTATAACTTAACAACACTTCTTAAAAAACGAATGCAGTCGACGAGGGACAT